TCGAAGGGTGTTCATTGACATGTTCATGATGGTTACTTGAGTTGTGTAGTGGGAAGGAAGAGACGGTGGATCATGACTTTAGCGCTACGCTGTGGGGTTGATGCAGCTACCGCTAAACGGTTGGAGCGATTTGACTACGATTTTTTGAACTGGGGATTGTTTCAAAGAGTGATGGATTTGGAAGAGTCGACTGTACGGCTGGCAAGGTCGTTGCATAGCTCCTTATAAGAGTTAAGTTTAGTTGGCCTTTGCTGTTGGCAAAGTGGTTATCGATTAGATGGGCGCGCGCAAAATGAAGACTAAAATGCTGAGCCTGACTCTTAAGCTCGCTGTTGCTGCTGCTGATGAGATTAGCATCATTGTTGTAGTGTATTGAAGCGCGTCGACATGTCCTCTTCCACGATTCAACCCTACCTTATTCTGGCTTGCTCCTCGGCTGACGAGCCCAAGGAGCTCATTCACACCGTTTTGCAGTCTAGAGTGTGTGAGAAGAACAAGTATTGTGATGCTGTTTACAAGTAATGGGAAGAGGGCATTGCGGTGTTCTGTGGCGTGTGGGAAGTTTATGCAACTTTTACTAGTATAATTGTTCTCAAGTGTTTACCTTGTTTTCTATTAGGTTCGACGTTCCTGAGAACCTCAAGTTCGGCTCCTTCGATTCCCTCATCAGATTGGTGGACGACCTTTCCAAACAAGATTCCCAAGTTGGTCATTATCATACCACTCCCCTCTCTACTGCCTTCCCATAGGTTGAGGCCGTCCTTCGCCGTATCGAGAGGCAGCTGCTCGAGCTTGACCCCAACACTGAGTTCAAGGTCGTCTCTCAGAGGGCTTCACTATCAGCAGAGGAGTACATCTCCAAATTCCACTGGGATGACGCCCAAGTTCCCCCGCACCAGGAATATTCACGACAACCTCAGTCTGTTGTTGACGAGTATTCAGAAGCTCGATGAGGGAGGTGAAGTCGAAGAGTCAGGCTTATTCTGATCTCAAGACACAGTACACTCAGATGA